CAGAGTCTGGACTTCGATAGGGATGGGTTGACCAAAATGAAGAAAGCCGTCAAAGCCATCTATAATGGAGCCAATGGTACGTCTGTTGTGTCCATTGTTTTGCTCACAGTTTGTCTCAATTATCGCTTAATTAAACGGTTGTCTACTTATAGTCGTTGTGTTGAGTATATAACGGATAATGTGATGATAAGTGTTGCATATCTTAATAGCGATCGCATATCTAATAGACATTTGAACTCTTTTTCCTCGAGTTTATCAAATGAAATGCAATATTATTTCAAATTTTTTAGTTATAAAACATTTTTATATAGTATTTCCGTTTCAAATGATTTTTAAATAGCAAAGCAATATCATTTCTACTATTCTTGAAATACATACAGATATGACATCTATTTTATCACTAAATATAGTCCATTCGTTGTCTATTAAATTAAAATATTTATATTAATATATTTAGACAGTAAACGTGCATTTTGTACTCTTGACAGACTTATCGGACAAATCTGTAAACATTTGTATAAACTGTTTACTTACGTTTTGTATAGTTAAACAAACGCTAAGAACTTGTATTTATTAACAAACAAATTATTTACGTACATAAATATCGGGTATAGCTGTTACTCGTGTATTTGTCGAAAGCATTGGAGAGATTGGGAGCCAATGCGATGACCAAAGATCAGGAGCCGGACATCGGATCCGCTTTTATTAAGTTCTCGATTGTAACCAAAGAACTGTCAGCTCTTCTCAAGGCAAAGGTCTGTAACTAATTGTTAAATGCATTACTGATTGCAGAATATATGCTCACATAATATGAAGAGTTTTATTATTAATATTTAAATGACACGTTCGGGTGATCTCTAAATTATCTGCAAATTAAGAAAACCTATTCTCAATGGCAATCAATAGAGTGTTTGATTATTGAATTTAGAAACTTCGAGATAAATATCGTTGACATTACATGACCTCTGTTTGAGATATTTATTGATATTTTGCAAACTCGAGGCCTTTTTATAAACGATTTAATCGCTTCCTTTAACTCTTCAGTAATCGATTCGTATTTTGCACTCAAAAACGCTTTATATTACGTTATCTTCACATGAGATGCTTAGGTATGTTCTCAACATAATTATCAGTTTACAATTACTAATGCTGAAATCCCGTTTTACAAACGTAGATAATCACAAACGGACATAATATAACACATGTGTTAAGTTAATTAATTGCATCCTTATTGAGATGACAACTACCGGTGATTAGTTTATTTTCAGTGCTTTTTTATATTTTAGCATAGCTATTTGTTTTTAAAGAATTTTTTTCATTTTTAATACAAAATTCGTTCAAAACTATTTTTATTTAACAGTAATAAATTTACAGTATATAGTATCAATATGCATGTTAACGATCAGAATATCTTACTGTGTCACTGAAATCACTGTACGGTATATCCAATGGTGTTGTATATTTAAACTTGTTTTAAAATGGTTTACAAATTACAGTCTAAAATAATAATTAAATATACTTTTTTATTTTAATTACGGTAAAATTAGTATAGAATAGGATCTCAGTGAAATTTCTATAAAATTATATGCTTTTCCTTAATATTGTGTAGAGATTTTTAGAGATAAAATTGTTGTAAATAGTTGTAAATATAGACTCTATATTACCGGTATAGAGAATATAAGACATTATAAATATTAAGAATCTCTAAATCACTATAAATTAAATTGTAAGTCGTTTTAATTTAAGCAAATGAGTAATTGTAATGGCTTTACTTTAAACCTTGTAAAGACAATAAAATAACCTGGACACTAGTATAGTAATAAAAGAGGTGGGCTTTGGTTAACATAAGGATTACAATATTGATGATTATTATACAGTAAATGTTTATACAATTGAATGCTCGAATTGATTGAGTGTTTGGGTGTTTAGATGCAAAACCTGCACAATATAGTGATGTTCCCATTGGATAACGTGCTGAAAGGGGATCTGAAGGGAGTGAAGGGCGACATAAAGAAGCCGTTCGACAAGGCCTGGAAGGACTACGACTCGAAGATCACTAAAATAGAGAAGGAGAAGAAGGCTCAGGCAAAAGAGGCCGGACTTATCAGGACTGATCCATACAAGAGTTGTATTAATAGTCAAATGTTAATGATTACGACTTTAGGGCAAAATGTTTGCATCTATTAGTGTTTGCCTGTATTATATTGTGTACACAATTCAATTAATTAACGTAGGAATAACCGATGACAACTACCGGTGATTAGTTTATTTTCAGTGCTTTTTTATATTTTAGCATAGCTATTTGTTTTTAAAGAATTTTATTCATTTTTAATACAAAATTCGTTCAAAACTATTTTTATTTAACAGTAATAAATTTACAGTATACTGTAGTATCACTATGCATGTTAACGATCAGAATATCTTACTGTATCACTGAAATCACTGTACGGTATATCCAATGGTGTTGTTATATTTAAACTTGTTTTAAAATGGTTTACAAATTACAGTCTAAAATAATAATTAAATATACTTTTTTATTTTAATTACGGTAAAATTAGTATGAAATAGGATCTCAGTGAAATTTCTATAAAATTATATGCTTTTCCTTAATATTGTGCAGAGATTTTTAGAGGTATAATTATTGTAAATAGTTGTAAAATTTACTATATTTAATATAGACTCTATATTACCGGTATAGAGAATATAAGACATTATAAATATTAAGAATCTCTAAATCACTATAAATTAAATTGTAAGTCATTTTAATTTAAGCAAATGAGTAATTGTAATGGCTTTACTTTAACCTTGTAAAGACAATAAAATAACCTGGACACTAGTTTAGTAATAAAAGAGGTGGGCTTTGGTTAACATAAGGATTACAATATTGATGATTATTATGTATATAAATGTATATACAATTGAATACTCGAATTGATTGAGTGTTTGGGTGTTTAGATGCAAAACCTGCACAATATAGTGATGTTCCCATTGGATAACGTGCTGAAAGGGGACCTGAAGGGAGTGAAGGGCGACATAAAGAAGCCGTTCGACAAGGCCTGGAAGGACTACGACTCGAAGATCACTAAAATAGAGAAGGAGAAGAAGGCTCAGGCAAAAGAGGCCGGACTTATCAGGACTGAGATCAGTGGCGCTGAGATCGCGGAGGAGATGGACAGAGAGAGGAAGTTATTTCAGTTGCAAATGTGTGAGTATTTGATTAAAGTGAACGAAATTAAGACCAAAAAGGGGGTCGAACTGCTCGAACATCTGGTCGAGTACTACAACTCGCAGACCAACTACTTTCGGGACGGACTCAAGACTATCGAACACTTCAACGGATATATCAACGACTTGTCGACTAAACTGCAGAAAATTCGCGTCAAACAAGAGAGCGAACGAAAAGATTTGTTAGAATTGCGAACTCTGTTGAAGAGCTCATCCAATTTGGGGGATAACCCGAAGGACCTGAACTCGACGGTCAACAGTGTGTCCGGCAATGAGCGTAAGGACGGCTCTAATCTCATGGGTTATAGTTTGCATCAAATGCAGGGAAACAAAACGTACGGCTTTTCAAAAGCGGGTCATTTGCTGAAGAAGTCTGAGGGGAAGATGCGGGTGAAGGTGTGGCAAAAGCGCAAGTGTGAAGTCAGGGATGGCTTCCTGTATATCTACCATTCGGACGAATCCAAGTCCCCCACAAAACTCAATCTCTTGACCGTTCAAATCAAAGCAGTTCCCGAAGACAAGAAGTCGTTTGACTTAATATCCTATAACAGGACGTATCACTTCCAGACCGAGGATGAGACCGAGACTGAGGCGTGGACTGCAGTACTCGTCAACTGCAAAGAGGGCGCCCTTAAGAAGGAGTTCGATAACAACAACCAGTCGTCGGCCACAAGTGACCAAAACCATCAAAGTTATGAGAATCAAAGTCTTAGAGAATTACAACAATCTATTATACATGAAGTGCAACGACTGGCCGGCAATGACCGGTGCGTTGACTGCAACTCTACCAAAGACCCGACGTGGCTGTCCACCAACTTTGGAGTCCTAACTGTGGGTTCATTTGTGTTACTCTTTATCATTGTTAATGAGTTGTTTCATTGACACGTTGTCTGTGTTGCAGTGCATCGAGTGTTCGGGAATACACCGGGATATGGGAGTCCATGTCTCCCGAATCCAATCACTCACTCTCGACAACATCGGAACCTCTCAACTGCTTTTGGCGCGAGTCATGAGTAACGCCGGCTTTAATGACATAATGGAGGCCACACTCAACCCGACGCTGAAGCCCACGGCCACCAGTTCTATGGATGTGCGCAATGAATACATTCGTAACAAATATAAGGACAGGAAATACATAATCAAGTCGTGTAGGGATGAGTCGGAACTGCGCTCTGAACTGGAAGACGCCGTCTTTTCGCGACATTTGCATCAACTCTTGCAAGCCTTCGCTGAGGGCGCGGACCTGACCTGCGTTTTGCCCGTCAGTACCAACGATGAGACGAGCCTTCACTACGCGATAGCACAGGAGGACGGCATGTCTCTACATATCGTCGATTTCCTCATTCAGAACAGTCTCAACCTAAACAAAGTGGACGCTCAGGGAAACACTGGTCTCCACTACTGTGTGCTCTACGATAAGAGCGAATGCATGAAACTATTGCTTCGGTCTAAGGCTGACATCACTATCAAGAATAACGATCGCAAGACACCACTCGATTTGGCCAAAGAAAGAGATAATCACCGACTCATTGAATTGGTACTGAATTTCATATAAATGTATGATTTGTCGGTTTAATTGCTTATTTGTTCCCACAGTTGGAGGGCGCGGCCCTCAATAAGAAGAGTTTGTTTGAAAATGTATTTCTCGACAGAAGTCTACATCCATCTGAAGACCCGTCGACTGATTTCAGTGACGAAGATCTCACTGAAGATAAGGTAAATAGTGTTTATGAGTTGGAGTATGCAATCAATTAAAATTTACATGTCTTTAATTTACTTAAATTTTTGCTGCCATTCCTTTATTATCTTTCAATCACTCAATGGTATCAATAGTTAATTAAATCTGGAATACATTCGTCTGATTGGTTAGTGAACGGCACTAATCAGTACACTAATGGCGCTCCACTTTCGCGCCATTCATACAAACACTATATGTCTTCTGAGGATAACTATAGAAATCTCTATTCTTATGAACGCTTACCCTTTTCTTCGGTACTGTATTCTCGCTATTCTTTACTTACGTTTCACTTAATGTCATAATTGTCTGTAATATCTCTCATTAATGGCTGAATGTGTGTTGAATTGACAGCAAAATGCGAGCCATTCTGTGCATCCCTTGCCGGTGGAGAGGCGGTCGCGACCGTCGAGTGTTGTGGGCAGTGAATCGCCGTCAAGTAAATCGAGTGATAGCTTCAAACACCCGAACGTCAAGACAGTGAACACAATAACCGCTCAATTGAGGAGTAGTCTGAAGAAGCGTTCGGCACCCGTTCCTCCCCATAAAGACGACGACAGCAGCGGTAGTAATAGCAGTACTTTAGCCAAAGACCACAACCGCACGTCGTCCGACACCTCAGGACTAGTATTTAAATCTATGGCTCAAAACCATTGGCGCAACTGTTCTGTTGATTACACCAATGATAACAACGCCTACGAAAGCAAATCCATTTCGCACATCAAAACAAACCCGCAATCAGTTTCTGTATTCGTTTCCGACAGTAAAAGCCCTCAATTGTATGCCACTGTTCACAGACCCCGGGGCGCACCCCCTCCAGCGCCTGAAACCAATAGATTAAGCAATGGACAGTCGATGGAGAGCTTGCCTTCACTTTCATCCGAACTCGAAGACACCGGCAATCGTTCGCATGGAATCCCAGTTCCTCCGCCTCGAAAGGTATGTCTTTTTACGTTGATTCGAGTCTTGGATTCATTTGTATGTTGTGTTCACCAGAAAAACGACGGCTTAAGACACAGGCGATGGTTAGCTCTCTTTGACTGCGAACCCGACAGAGAGGATGAGTTAGCCTTCAGAGAGGGAGAGGTTATCGTTGAGATCAATGATGTGACCGCAGACCAGGATTGGATGGAAGGCATCATCGAAGGCGACCCCCAAAGAAGGGGTGTATTTCCTCTGAGTTATGTTCGTCTCCTAAATAACTAAAAGTTTTCGTTTATATGTATTTATCGTTAAATCATTTATTCATACAATTAGTGATTACTTCAAAACATTACAAACTATGCAATAATTTGGTATTTCCTCAGATTCTAGTCATACGTTAATTCGTTTCAAGCAATCATTCCTTCAAATCTATTATCTGTTGTTTAGTTTTTATTAAACTAATACTCATTATTATGCGATCCTTTTCTACGATTAGACACAAAACACATTTAATTTGAAATTAACTTAAGTTACGATTAATAATATAAATTACTGTAAATACATTTTGTCTACAACTTAATAATGCATTTCTACTGAAATTCCTATTCATATTTATTACTGTATTTATTATCATTTTTATAATAATTTATATTACGTTGAAATACAACTCAAGTGAAGTGAAGTGACTTTTTTTGTTAAGACTATCCATAAATTGCCAAAAAAACTTGGGCTCAACTGAACAAAAATATAATTATATTATAAATTATAGTTTAGAAACCAATTTGACTGCAAACCAAATGTATTGAACTCTTTGGCACAAAATAAATAGAAAAATACATTTTAAACCAAAAACTGTGTGATTAGTCTGTTTTGGCGCTCAGTTGTGCCGTCGCTTGTCTTTCGCTCAGATCAATGATCGACAGATTGATGGCAGATATGTATCCGTGAAGAACACTGATGCCAGCCTTGACCAGAGCCACGGGCGCCGACACCCACACCAACAGTGGAATCAAATGAATGTTGAGAACGGGAACTGCAATTCAATTGTCATATACTGTAAGTGAATGAATGTCTCAATGGGTTTGGTTTGTGTGACCACTCACTCAGTGGTCCACTCGTGAAGTGTAGGAAATAGAGAGACGAGTAAAACATCTCATTTCCGGCGCACATGAAGAAGAGGACGGGTCGGGAAGTGTAGTACAATCTCATCACCGGATTCTCATTCAAGTCAAACGCCTTATGACTCGTCTTCCCCAGCATTAGACTCGTCTGAATGTGAATCCAATGACAGGCGATGTCTATAATGAGTGACAATTGAAATAAAAACATATATTTTGGATAAAAAGTCGACAAAACCTGACATTTGGGACAAAATGTGAAAAACAATGAATTAGTCGTTAATGTAAAGCATTTGTCACTAAATTGTGGTCTAATCTAATCATACAAACTATGAGTGATTAGGGGTTAGGACGGGTAGGTTGACAGTAGTGGACGGGTAGGTGGACAGGGATGACAGAGACATACCATAATGAGACACATAGTGGCGCACCGGTCGGTCAGTTGGTCGAGAAGTGCCCCGAATTTGGTCGACTGATTGAGTCTTCGTGCGGCCATACCGTCGAAGGCGTCCAATAGGGCTGACGTCACGTAGAAGACTGTGGCCATCAGGTAGTGGTCCGGCATTAAGTAGAAGGATAT